TTTTTTTTTTTTTATTGCCTTATTTTCAACATCCTTTGTAGTTAATCCTTTCAAGTTCTTTCTGAATAAGAAATACATTATATTTATTGCCTGGTTTATAATACCAGCAAAGCCAAATTATTGGTGCACGAATATGTCTATACTTATATGGTATATGCTCATTTAAAAGAACCACGTAAGTTTTTTTCAGCTGTAAGTTTAATATGGAAACCCTTACATTTTCTTAAAGAAATTTATGAATAGGCCTATATGCAAAAACTATAGGAATATTAATCGGTTAATGCATTAATTAGTGATTATAATTTTTTTTTTACCGGACAAAATTGATTTGCTTAATCAGCACTTTAGCCTAACGGCAGCACTTTAGCTGCTGTTTATACCTTCAGTTGCAAATTAAATTCATTTACTTTTGTGATACTAGAGCTACAGTCCAATCCACCAAAACAAATTAAGAAAAGCCATTATTTTCTACATATTAGTAGACTCTAAATTCGATCAAATAAGCATTTGAAACTCCTACATTTTCATATTTTTTCGGGGGCTTGCACCCCCTCCCCCTCTCCAGACCACTTTGGAGAAATTTTGAGCGAATTCCGACCACGCCCACTTTCCTTTCGTTAGTGACATCAAAGAATTGTTTGCTTTTGTGAAATCCTGGCGCCATCCCTGAAAAGAATGACTAAATTAATTATTTTTGTCCTAAAATTTACAGCAGAAATTTAATGACTACGGTGTACAATAATTATGATGTTAATTAATTGCGGTTATGGAGAGAAATGATTTCATTTGATCGACTTTTGTTAATTCTAAAAATCAATCGAAATTTAATAGGCTCACAAAAGATTTTTTTATCTTGAAATTTATGTTTTGTCGCCTGAGCACCAGTAATGTTTGACACTCTGAAACGGCATCACTGGCTATATTCAATTTTTACATACATAGGCCTACATACATACATACATACACACATACACACACATATACACACATACATACATAGCCTACATATATTCATTTAGTTTCGTGGTATTCATAGATATATACCGGTACGCAACCCAGACAATAAAATTTAAAAAAAATATAGGCCAAGGTTTGAATTCCTCATTTAAAAGGACCACATATTTATCAAGAAGCCACAGGTCTAACAATAATATTCAATTGATTTATAGATGTCTTACTATTCTATATGGGAATCCTTACATTTGCTGACAGAAATTTAACTTAAGGACATGCGTATTATGCTAAGACTACATAGGAATGTTGTTTAAATAATTGGCGACGGGTTTTTTCAATTTTATTTTCAGTTGAAAACCTAAATAGGCCGATAAAAGTTTTCACCTGAGTGCGGTGGTGTTTAACTGACTTGAAGACGTTATGCTCGGCGGCACTTTAGAGGCTAGTTAATTCATTAAATTGAGAAATGCATTAATGTGGGAAAAACATAAATGCATCATTAGACAAATGACAATTATAAATCATTTTGTTTCATTCTTGACGTTTATAGTAATACTTAGTTTGTAGTTCAATAATATTGCATGTTTTATAAAGCAACACGAGGCCTTTAAGTATGTTACAACAGACAAACACAAAACTTTCCAACACTAGACATGTTTACCAACAGCACGCAAGTGCATTCACTTTTTACTACTCACTTTTAAGTTTTCACGCACGATCTGGTTTTTTTTTCTGCAATTTTCAATATTTAATGAATGAATGAATGAACGAACGAAGAACGAACGAATGAAGGAAGGAAGGAAGGAGAGAAGGAAGAATGAATGAATGAATGAATGAATGAATGAATAAATGAATGAATGAATGAATGAATGAATGAACGAACGAACGAATGAATAAATGAATGATGGACGGACGAACGAACGAACGAACGAACTAACGAACAAACGAACGAACGAATGAATGAATGAACCCACAGAACAACACAGCGTCCTTGTGCATTTACATCATGTTTCATGAAGCGTACCTTACACCAGGTCCATGCTTACACTTTTGCACTGACGAAAGTATTTTATGATACAGTAGGCTTAATAAAACATAATTTAGAATGAAGGAATGCTGTATACACTGTTTCTGTACAGGCCTAGATTTTGACCATCCTAATTCAGTATACGAGTTGCTCTTTGCCCTTTTGTCTTCGGAGCGCCATTGTCTACAAAATATTGTGACAAAATTTGATAGTCTTATTAAATCGTAAATAAATTGTGGTTATCTCTGGAGATATTAATATTACGCCATTTCTGATTAAAGCCGCTTTTAAACAAACCCCGCAGGCATTCAGTTAAATATTTAATTTAAGTAGGCCTACACAAGAGACGATCAATACCTCTGTTTAATTATTTATGGTAGATAGTAGCTTTTGTTCAATCGTTCAATCCCTGTTAATAAATTGTAACGGTACATATACGGTACTTGACTTTAATTGATGTTTTGCTATCAGCTGTGCGTATCAGTTGTTGTCTTGACGACAGGCATCTTAGATTAGAGTTATACTTTGTGATTGACGTAGACGTTTTGAACAAAAAAAAATATTGTGTTCATGTTCTCATTTCTTTCATGACTACTTTTATTTTCACCCAGATAAATATTGTGGTCTTCTTAGAATTTTCAAATGGCAACCTGAAAAAAAAACCAACTTCAGTGGCTATAATATGGTTTGTAATGAAAGGGCTACCCATTTAAACATTTAAAAAATAGTTGAATAAATAAATAAATATTGTTAATTACCAAGGCTATGTCGTGTAAGTTCTTTAATGGTCTCATTCAAATATGAAAGAAGTGATTCGGGTGGGAATATCTAGCCGGTGTCATAATTGTGTGAATTTTAATTTTTTTTTTTTTTTTTTTTTTTTTTTTTTTTTTTTTTTTTTTTTTTTTTTTTTTTTTTTTTTTGGCAATGATTGCCTTCTCTTTTAATTTTTTTTAAATTTATTATTTTATTTATTTATTTTATTTGGTTTTATTTGGTTTGGTTTTTTTTTTTGGCAATGATTGCCTTCTCTTTTAAATTTTTTAAAATTTATTATTTTATTTATTTATTTATTTTATTTTTTCTTTCTTTTGGGTTTGTTCTTTTGGTTTTTTTTTTTTGTTTTTTTTTGTTTTTTTTACTGCATTAACTTTAGTCCTGGAATTCTCTAGAGTAGTATCACGACTAATTGTTGATCGTATATCGAAGAGTCGCCATAAAAGGTCACGAGTTTAAGTTTACGTCATCACAGAATGTGTTTGGTATTCACGTAGGCCTATATAACAACATTTGAATAATGGTACAACTCATTTAGTATGTTTAGTAGTACCAGATAGGTTCACCACGGTTTTTGTCGGAGCGGTTTGGCACAGCGTATTATGGTTCTACCTTGAAATCGGGGGTTCAATCCCTCGTTGTGTATTTCCCTTGTGACATTGGGAAAATCACTTTACCTAAGGTTGTTTGTCCACCCAGGAGTAGATACTCAGTACGTTCAAGCATAAATGCGCTGATTTATTAGTAGTGCAATATATATAGGTTAGGTGACATATTCAAAAAGGTTCGTAACTCGTATCAGTCCAATGATGGGGCTGAGGTGGTTTATACCCTCTATTTATTAAAATCCTCTCCTTGGCCCCTTCTATTGAATAGAAATACTAGTTTTGAGATTGTCCTTGGGAATTTGGTGGGGTTTAATTTTGGTCATAGGGGCCTATTAGTCTTTCTCAGCAAGAAATTCTTGAAGTTTTGTTGTGTGTATTGCAAATGAGTGATAAAATACAGTACCGTGTCTGCAGTCTGAGATATATTATACTGAAAGTGATGTACATTGAAAGACAAGATTACACAGAAAGGAATATCTGTATTTTATGTTATTAATGCAGTGCCACCGGAAGGGGCAGGGGAAAGATCCCCGGGCCCAAGCTTATCAAAGTGCCCATAGAAATCGCAGGTAGTGTCTTTTTTTCAATATTTTTTTTTTTCAAAAATGATAATTACTATCATGGACCCTCAATAATGGCATGGGTCCACTAATAATTTGACCCTCTAGATTGACAGCCCCCCACCCCATATTTTTTTTGCGCCTTCGGCACTGAGTCTTTTTTGCTCTCGTAGCTGGGATCTCACACTAACCCTTGCCCCTGTTACAGTTTCCCTTTTAGCGGCTGTGTGCCATATGCATTTAAGGTACCATATTCAATTGAATGAGCCTCAATAATGTGGCCCATGTTAATCCTTGTTAATCCATGTTAATATTATCTCTTCTTTTTCGGTTTGAAGCTCCGTCCACACTAACAAATTGTCTTTGACAACAATTGTTGTATGTCCATATATAGTCATGATCTGCCTATTTATGGTCATAATGCTATGTCATCATAGGCATGTCACATGCTTTTGTCAAATAACATTTGATAATGATTTACTAACAGAACATGCGTTAGCTGAGGCTGTTTTTTTAATGTGGAGCGAAGAAATCAAACCAGTCAAATTTGAAGTATCGTCCGACCAATAGAAATCACGATTGCCAATCAGCTGGTTGTGGTTCGGATCAGTGAACTACTTCTAACATATTTCCCGCGTAACAGGAACGCGTAATAT